TTGGTTTTTCTTGGATTTTGAAAATAAATTATTTTGCTACAAATAATCAAATTATACATTAATTTGATAGAGTATTTTTGGAATTTGTTCTTCCTTGTGTTGTTAAGGATTTTGTTGAACACATTGTTCTTAGGAATAGTCCATGGTCAACACAACATTTAGTTGCTAAGAATTTTCAGTATTTATATTTCTTATGAGGTTCATCCTTCTAAAACATAGGAACTGAAAACCAAAGCTACCAGATTACATACCACAAAGTAAAAGAATTTATTTACTTTTCAAAGATTATATAAATTCTATTTTAGTGTTATAATTATAGATGTACTATATTTATACTATCATTTTTGAAATTTCTGAAATAAAATCATTTCTAAAAGAAATAGAGAGGGCAGACAGCAAAAGCAAGAAGAACTACAATCCTGCAGCCTGTGGAACAAAAACCACATTCACAGCAAGACAGACGAGATGAAAAGGCAGAGGGCTATGTACCAGATGAAGGAACAAGATAAAACCCCAGAAAAACAACTAAATGAAGGGAGACAGGCAACCTTCCAGAAAAATAATTCACAATAATGATAGTGAAGATGATCTAGGACCTCAGAAAAAGAATGGAGGCAAAGATCGAGAAGATGCAAGAAATGTTTAACAAAGACCTAGAAGAATTAAAGAACAAACAAACAGAGATGAACAATACAATAACTAAAATGCAAACTACACTAGAAGGAATCAATAGCAGAATAACTGAGGCAGAAGAACGGATAAGTGACCTGGAAGACAGAATGGTGGAATTCACTGCTGCAGAACAGAATAAAGAAAAAAAAAAAGAAAATAAATGAAGACAGCCTAAGAGACTTCTGGGACAACATTAAAGGCAACAACATTTGCATTATAGGGGTCCCAGAAGGAGAAGAGAGAGAGAAAAAGAGAAAATATTTGAAGAGATTATAGTTGAAAACTTCCCTAACATGGGAAAGGAAATAGCCACCCAACTCTAGGGAGCGCAGAGAGTCCCACACAGGATAAACCCAAGGAGAAACACGCCGAGGCACATAGTAATCAAATTGGCAAAAACTAAGGACAAAGAAAAATTATTGAAAGCAGCAAGGGAAAAATGACACATAACATACAAGGGAACTCCCATAAGGTTAACAGCTGACTTCTCAGCAGAAACGCCACAAGCCAGAGGGAGTGGCATGATACACTTAAAGTGATGAAAGGGAAGAACCTACAACCAAGATTACTCTACCCGGCAAGGATCTCACTCAGATTCGATGGAGAAATCAAAAGCTTTACAGACAAGCAAAAGCTAAGAGAATTCAGCACCACCAAACCAGCTCTACAACAAATGCTAAAGGAACTTCTCCCAAAACAATTAAGAAAATGGTCATAGGAACATACATATCGATAATTACCTTAAACGTGAATGGATTAAATGCACCAACCAAAAGACACAGGCTTGCTGAATGGATACAAAAACAAGACCCATATATATGCTGTCTACAAGAGACCCACTTCAGACCTAGGGACACATACAGACTGAAAGTGAGGGGATAGAAAAAGATATTCCATACAAATGGAAATCAAAAGAAAGCTGGAGTAGCAATACTCATATCAGATAAAATAGACTTTAAAATAAAGAATGTTACAAGAGACAAGGAAGGACACTACATAATAATCAAGGGACCAATCCAAGAAGAAGATATAACAATTATAAATATATATGCACCCAACATAGGAGCACCTCAATACATAAGGCAACTGCTAACAGCTATAAAAGAGGGAATTGACAGTAACACAATAATAATGGGGGACGTTCACACCTCACTTACACCAATGGACAGATCATCCAAAATGAAAATAAATAAGGAAACAGAAGCTTTAAATGACACAATAGACCAGATAGATTTAAGTGATATTTATAGGACATTCCATCCAAAAACAGCAGATTACATTTTCTTCTCAAGTGCGCACAGAACATTCTCCAGGATAGATAACATCTTGGGTCACAAATCAACACTTAGTAAATTTAAGAAATTTGAAATCGTATCAAGCATCTTTTCTGACTACAACGCTATGAGATTAGAAATGAATTATAGGGGAAGAACTATAAAAAACACAAACACATAGAGGCTAAACAATACTTTACTAATTAATCAAGAGATCACTGAAGAAATCAAAGAGGAAATAAAAAAATACCTAGAGAAAAATGACAACGAAAACATGATGATCCAAAACCTATCGGATGCAGCAAAAGCAGTTCTAACAGCTATACAAGCCTAACTCAAGAAACAAGAAAAATCTCAAATAAACAATCCAACCTTACACCTAAAGGAACTAGAGAAAGAAGAACAAAACCCAAAGTTAGCACAAGGAGAGAAATCATAAAGATCAGAGCAGAAATAAATGAAATAGAAACAAAGAAAACAATAGCAAAGATCAATAAAACTAAAAGCTGGTTCTTTGAGAAGATACACAAAATTGATAAACCATTAGCCAGACTCATCAAGAAAAAGAGGGAGAAGACTCAAACCAATAAAATTAGAAATGAAAAAGGAGAAGTTACAACAGACACCGCAGAAATATAAAGCATCCTGAGACTATTACAAACAACTCTATGCCAATAAAATGGAAAATCTGGAAGAAATGGACAAATTCTTAGGAAGGTATAACCTTCCATGATTGAACCAGGAAGAAATAGAAAATATGAACAGACCAATCACAAGGAATGAAATTGAAACTGTGATTAAAAATCTTCCAACAAACAAAAGTCCAGGACCAGATGGCTCCACAGATGAATTCTATCAAACATTTAGAGAAGAGCTAATACCCATCCTTCTCAAACTCTTCCAAAAAATTGTGGAGGAAGGAACACTCTCAAACTCATTCTATGAGGTCACCATCACCCTGATACCAAAACCAGACAAAGATACTACAAAAAAAGAAAATTACAGACCAATATCACTGATGAATATAGATGCAAAAATCCTCAACAAAATACTAGCAAACTGAATGCAACAACACATTAAAAGGATTATACACCATGATCAAGTAGGATTTATCTCAGGGATGCAAGGATTCTTCAATATACACATATGAATCAATGTGATACACCATATTAACAAATCGAAGAATAAAAACCATATGATCATCTCAATAGATGCATAAAAAGCTTCTGACAAAGTTAAACACCCATTTATGATAAAAACTCTCCAGAAAGTGGGCATAGAGGGAACCTACTTCAACATAATAAAGGCCATATATGACAAACCCACAGCAAACATCATTCTCAATGGTGAAAAACTGAAAGCATTTCCTCTAAGATCAGGAACAAGACAAGGAAGTCCACTCTCACCACTATTATTCAACATAGTTTTGGGAGTCCTAGACATGGCAATCAGAGAAGAAAAAGAAATAAAAGGAATACAAATTGGAAAAGAAGAAATAAAACTGTCACTGTTTGCAGATGACATAATACTATACATAGAGAATCCTAAAGATGGCACCAGAAAACTACTAGAGCTAATCAATGAATCTGGTAAAGTTGCAGGATTCAAAATTAATGCTCAGAAATCTCTGGCATTCCTATACACTAATGATGAAAAATCTGAAAGAGAAATTAAGGAAACACTCCCATTTACCATTGCAACGAAAAGAATAAAATACCTAGGAATAAACCTACCCAGGGAGACAAAAGACCTGTATGCAGAAAACTATAAGACACTGATGAAAGAAATTAAAGATGATACAAACAGATGGAGAGATATACCATGTTCTTATATTGGAAGAATCAATATTGTGAAAATGACTATACTACCCAAAGCAATCTACAGATTCAATGCAATCCCTATCAAATTACCAATGGTATTTTTTACAGAACTAGAACAAAAAATCTTAAAATTTGTATGGAGATACTAAAGACCCCAAATAGCCTAAGCAGTCTTGAGGGAATAAAACGGAGTTGGAGGAATCAGACTCCCTGACTTCAGACTATACTACAAAGCTACAGTAATCAAGACAATATGGTACTGGCACAAAAACAGAAACGTAGATCAATGGAACAAGATAGAAAGCCCAGAGATAAACCCACGTACCTGTGGTCAACTAATCTATGACAAAGGAGTCAAGGATATACTATGGAGAAAAGACAGTCTCTTCAATAAGTGGTGCTGGGAAAACTGGACAGCTACATGTGAAAGAATGAAAGTAGAACACTCTGTAACACCATACACAAAAATAAACTCAAAATGGATTAGAGACCTAAATGTAAGACCAGACACTATAAAACTCTTAGAGGAAAACATAGGCAGAACACTCTATGACATAAATCACAGCAAGATCTTTTATGATCCACCTCCTAGAGTAATGGAAATAAAAACAAACAAATGGGACCTAATGAAACCTAAAAGCTTTTGCACAGCAAAGGAAACCATAAACAAGATGAAAAATAAATAAATAAATAAAAGAAATAGTACTCTGGATATTTTACAGGGGCATTTTCTTATCATTTGTTTTCTAATATTTTCTTTCTCACTTATATAAGGCATAAGCAGTCCAGAATTTCAAAGTTACTCAACTGTCTTTTTGAACCTAAAATTGATTATTTATTTATTTATTATACAGCAGGTTCTTATTAGTAATCTATTTTATACATATTAGTGTATACATGTCAATCCCAATAATCTTATGAAACATTTTCAATGCTGTTTCTTCCAGACAGATAATAAAGAGATAATAAGACAAAAAGTTCAGAGAATATTAAGTTACTATATTTGAATAATCAGGGAAAGCTTTAATACCTGGATAGGTAAGTTTCTTACTGAGATAAAGAAACATTTAATATATTTAAAAATATTTACAGGTCCTTCAATATAGGCCAGAAAAGTAGCTGAGAAAAATTGCAGTAGACCATACCAACACATCCAAATTACTGCCCAGAGTCACAGAGAATACATGGGGGTCTTTCTAAATTCTTACAGGCTGTTTAATGTTTACTATCTTACATGAGCTTTTCTTTGTAGTTGTCCATCTCAGTCACTGCCTTCTGAAGTTTTAGCCCACGTGCTTCAATCTCACACTGTAAATCTGGAATGACATAATGTGTTCTTCTGATTAGTATATTTTAAGTGTCCAGATATTTTCATAGAGTAAACCACATTCTTTTAGCATTGCCACTCACCTCCTGAAGAATAATGCAGCTGTTTGTTCCACTTTGCTTGGATGACCATATGTAGCTCATCCCTACTCTGAAATCCCGCAGAATTAATAGGTTTTGACAGACTCAATTTATTGGCCTCTTTCTGCCCCCAATGTCATGCTAATTTTCAAACAGCTAATAGGCTAAATTTTACTGATGTTTTCAAAGGAAATTTATGTCACTGGCACACATATGAATTTTTGGTCATATGGCTCACTTCTGAAACACTTGACTTTCTGAGCTAGCTCTTGTGGCCTGGAACTTAGAAGTATTGCTAAGGCCTCCCAGTAGAACTGAAATAGATAAACCACGTGCAAGGCTTCCAGTAAAGAATCTGTTAACTCTGGGTAGTGTCTAATAGGCATTTTAATGACTTTCAAGCCAAGAAAATACAAGCAGGCAATTGGCTTCCACAGAGTCTTGAACTGAGGAATTCAAGTAGTGTTTGAGAAATATTATTCAGGCAGCCACGTCTCACATGTGTGGATGCAGAACTGAAACTAAAGCAGAAAGAACATATGGCTTGAATGATCTGAGACCCACCATTAGCCTGTGTGTGTGGACTAAGATCTGAACCCCAGCCCCAATAACAGCCCTTGTTGGTACTCTTTTTGGGAAAAGGTGGAAAACAAATTTACACAGGTGGATTAACTGACTTCTATGAAGAAAATAATTTTAAACATTGAAATTTATAAAATTTCCATGTTACATCTGTTCAGGTGTTTTAGTAACATATTTTTAATAGTAAACTTTAAAATCTTTTAAAAAAATTTTTGATAGATCTTTATTGGAGTATAACTGCTTCACAATAAATACTGTGTTAGTTGATGTTGCACAACAAAGTGAATCAGCCATATGCATATACATGTCCCCATATCCCCTCCTTCTTGAGCCTCCCTCCCATCCTCCCTATCCCACCCCTCTAGGTCATCACAAAGCACTGAGCCGATCTCCCTGTGCTATGCTGCTGCTTCCAACCAGCCAATTATTTTACATTTGGTAGTGTATACATGTCGATGCTACTCTCACTTCGCCCCCAGCTTCGCTCTCCCACCCCATGTCCTCAAGTCCATTTTCTATGTCTACCTATTTATTCCTGCCTTGCAACTAGGTTCATCAATACCACCCTTTTATTTTTAGATTCCATATATATGCATTAGCATATGGTATTTGTTTTTCTCTTTCTGACTTACTTCACTCTGTATGACAGACTCTAGGTCCACCCACCTCACTACAAATAACTCAATTTCATTTCTTTTTATGGCTGAGTAATATTCCATTGTATATATGTGCCACATCTTCTTTATCCATTCATCTATCGATGCACATTTAGGTTGCTTCCATATCCTGGCTATTGTAAATAGTGCTGCAATGAACATTGTGGTACAGGTCTCTCTTTTTTTTTTCGGTACGCAGGCCTCTCACTGTTGTGGCCTCTCCCGTTGTGGAGCACAGGCTCCAGACGCGCAGGCTCAGCTGCCACGGCTCATGGGCCTAGCTGCTCCATGGCATGTGGGATCTTCCCGGACTGGGGCACGAATCTGTGCCCCCTGCATCGGCAGGTGGACTCTCAACCACTGCACCACCAGGGAAGCCCACATGTCTCTTTTGTAATTATGGTTTTCTCAGGGTATATGCCCAGTAGTGGGATTGCTGGGTCATATGGCAGTTCTATATTTAGTTTTTTAAGGAACCTCCATACTGTTCTCCATAGTGGTCGTATCAATTTACATTCCCATCAACAGTGCAAGAGGGTTCCCTTTTCACCATACCCTTTCCAGCAGTTACTGTTTCTAGATTTTTTGATAATGGCCATTCTGACTGGTATGAGGTGATACCTCATTGTAGTTTTGATTTGCATTTCTCTAATAATTAGTGATGTTGAGCATCTTTTCATGTGCCTCTTGCCCATCTGTATGTCTTCATTGGTGAAATGTGTATTTAAGTCTTCCACCCGTTTTTTAACTGGATTGTTTGTTTTTTTGATATTGAGCTCCATGAGCTATTTGTATATTTTGGAGATTAATCCTTTGTCTGTTGTTTCATCTGCAAATATTTTCTCCCATTCTGAGGGTTGTCTTTTTGTATTGTTTATGGTTTCTGTTGCTGTGCAAAAGCTTTTAAGTTTAATTAGTTCCCATTTGATTATTTTTGTTTTTATATCCATTACTCTAGGAGGTGGGTCAAAAAAGATCTTGCTGTGGTTTATGTCGAAGTGTTTTTCCTATGTTTTCCTCTAAGAGTTTTATAGTGTATTGTCTTACATTTAAGTCTTTAATCCATTTGGAGCTTATTTTTGGGTATGGTGTTAGGTAGTGTTCTAATTTCATTCTTTTACATGTAACTGTCCAGTTTTCCCAGCACCACTTATTGAAGAGGTTGTCTTTTCTCCATTGTATGTTCTTGCCTCCTTTATCATAAATTAGGTGATCATATGTGCATGCGTTTATCTCTGGGCACTCTATCTTGTACCATTGATTTATATTTTTGTTTTTGTGCCAGTACCATACTCTCTTGATTACTGTAGCTTTGTGGTACAGTTTGAAGTCGGGGAGCCTGATTCCTCCAACTCCGTTTTTCTTTCTCAAGATTGCTTTGGTTATTCAGGGTCTTTTGTTTCCATATGAATTGTAAGATTTTTTGTTCTAATTCTGTGAAGAAAGCCATTGGTAGTTTGATAGGGATTGCACTGAATCTGTAGCTTGCTTTGGGTACTATAGTCATTTTCACAATATTGATTCTTCCAGTCCAAGGACATGGTATATTTCTCCATCTGTTTATGTCATCTTTGATTTATTTCATCAGTGTCTTATAATTTTCTGAGTACAGGTCTTTTGTCTCCTTAGCTAGGTTTATTCCTAGGTACTTTCTTCTTTTTGTTGCAATGGTAAATGGGAGTGTTTCCTTAATTTCTCTTTCTGATTTTTTGTTGTTGGTGTACAGGAATGCCAGAGATTTCTGTGCATTAATTTTGTATCCTGCAACCTTACCAAATATCAGTGATATTGGTCCATAATTTTCTTTCTTTGTGATATATTTTTCTTGTTTTGTTATCAGGATAATGGTGGCTTCATAGAATGAATTTGGGAGTTAAACTTTAAAAACTTTATGCATCCATACAAATATATAAAATTTCTATACATATCTACAGTCTGCCTTCTTAACTTTGTTTCATGAAAATGAGGCAGTTCCTTAAATCAGAAAATAAATTCACTCTAAACAAATGTTTTAATTAGAATTTACTAGATATTGGTATAAATTTTTATGTTTATTCAGCATGTTCACATATATTAATGTTATCCCTCAAATTGCTACATAAGTACAAACAGCCCCATTTTTCAGATGATGAGAAATGAGATTTTCTTTGATTCTCTTGCCTAGTATCTTACAGTGAATAAATGCATTAGCCAGCAGTCAAACTGACAAGATTTTAAACTCGGGTAAGGGGATCTATTTGAAAGAATGGCTCTTTAAATAAATAAATAATTCAATATGGACTTAACTTCGTAGATAATATTTGTATGGTACATTTTTTCCACTTATCAAGTGATATCATTATATGAGAGAAAAGATAAAATAACGTACACATAGAAAATTTAGTTTTGAGGGTAACCAGTTGAAACAAGGCAATCTCTAATGAATGTTGCATAATGTGTTGCTTTGTTATTAAGTACATGTGGGCTTCCAGAGGGTTCTATTCACACAGGCACAGCTAAAACATTTCTGCCTATCCTCTGAAAAATGAGGGAAGGAAGTTGATGTTTGTTGATTGTATACTTATTCCAGGCACTGTGCAGGGTGCTTTCTCCTATTTCATTTAATTCATAGTCACAACTATCACGAAAAACAGATACACAAACACAGCCTGAAGGGGTTAGTGCACCATGGCTAGCCCGGAGGGAGTCCGGGAAAAAATCTGGACCTGCCAAAGAAGCAAGAGACTTTTTCTTCCGTCTTTGTTTCCTGGTAGGAGAGGAGAGAGAATTAAGAGCACTGCTTAAAGGAGCTCCAGAGACAGGCGCGAGCCGCGGCTAACAGCGTGGACCCCAGAGATGGGCATGAGATGCTAAGGCTGCTGCTGCCAACACCAAGAAGCCTGTGTGCGAGCACAGGTCACTCTCCACACCTCCCTTCCGGGGACCCTGTGCAGCCCGCCACTGCCAGGGTCCCGGGATCCAGGGACAACTTGGAGAACATACGATGCGCCTCAGGCTGGTGCAACGTCACGCCAGCCTCTGCCGCCGCAGGCTCACCCCACACTACGTACCCCTCCCTCCCCCCGGCCTGAGTGTGCCAGAGCCCCCGAATCAGCGGCTCCTTTAATCCCGCCTGTCTGAGCGAAGAACAGACACCCTCCGGCGACCTACACGCAGAGGCGGGGCCAAATCCAAAGCTGAGCCCCTGGGAGCTGTGAGAACAAAGAAGAGAAAGGGAAATCTCTCTCAGCAGCCTCAGAAGCAGCGGATTAAAGCTCCACAATCAACTTGATGTACCTGCATCTGTGGAATACAGGAATAGACAACGAATCATCCCAAATTGAGGAGCTGGACTTTGAGAGCAAGATTTATTATTTTCTCCCCTTTTCCTCTTTTTGTGAGTGTGTATGTGTATGCGTCTGTGTGAGATTTTGTCTGTATAGCTTTGCTTTCACCATTTGTCCTAGGATTCAATCCGTCCATTGTTTTTTTTTTTACTTAAAAAATTTTTTTTCTTAATAATTATTTTATTTGAATAACTTTATTTTATTTTACCTTACCTTATTTTATTTTCTTTTATCCTCTTTCTTTCTTTCTACTTTTTCTCCCTTTTATTCTGAGCCGTGTGGATGAAAGGCTCTTGGTGCTGCAGCCAGGAGTCAGTGCTGAGCCTCTGAGGTGGGAGAGCCAAC